CTTTTTTCTCTCTGTGCCTCAGCTTCTTTGTATTCCTCTTCTCTAGTTTCTATTTCATTTATCATCTCCTACACCGTATCCAGCCTGCTTTTAATACCCTCCATCATGTTCTTCAATGATTGGATCTCTGACCTGAATTCATTCCTGAGTTCTTGGATGTCTTTCCATACCTCCATTAGGATGTTGATTATTTTTATTTTGAACCCCTTTCAGGAAGAGACACGAGGTCCACATCATTTATATCTTTCTCGGGAGTTGTATTAACAATTTTCCTCTGGACAAGGTTCCTTTGGCGGTTCATGTTTGTATATGGGGCCCTCTAGTGTCCAGAGGCTCTATTCTGGAGCTGCTGAGCCCCTGAAGCAAAGTTGCGGGTCACAGGGGAGTGGCACTGGTGCCTGGGGGTAGGAAAGAGCTGTTCCCCGCCTCCCAGCTACTGTGCCTGTCTCCACTGCCTGAGCCAGTGGACTGGTCACACAGGTACAAGTTTTTGTCCCAGAGCAGCCGGATATGGATCCCTGCTTTCCACAAGCAGCCAGAATCCCAGTCTCCCCAGGAACTCTGCCTGTATTAACTTTCCAACCCGGTAGTCATGCAAGTCTCATGAAAGCACCATGAAATGTAGGTTTAAGCTCCCAGAGCAGATCTCTGGAGCTAGGTATTCAGCAGTTCCAAGAATTCCACTCCCTTCCTGCTCCATTTGTCTTCCTCCACCAGTGAGATGGGGTGGGGGGCAGAGCCACAGTTCTCGTACGTTACTCTGCTCTTTTCTCCAGGTGTGTGCAGTCTGACGCCGTCCTCTTTCCTGTTGCTCTCTCAGGATTAGTTGCACTAATTAAATTTTCTAATTGTATCCAGTTTTAGGAGGAAGCCTCTGTCTCTCCTCTCACGCCGCCATCTTTAATCCCATTTCTTCCTATCATTTTTAGACCATCTTCTTTATAGTAACATGTCCCTATCCTCATTTCACTGGTGAAGAGTAAAGATTCTGGAGCTAGACTGCCTGAGTTTGAACACAGGTCTGTCATTTATTAGCTTTGTGACTCAACTTCTTAATCTTTAAAGTGAGGATTATGGTAGCTACCATCCCATAAGATTGTTGTGAGATTTAGATGACTTAATGCATGTAAAGCCCTTCTATATGTGCCTAGTGTATATATGAGTGTTAACTGTTATTATTTGGTCCCTCAGTTATGTCCAAAACTTTTTCCTCTGGCTCTTTATATATAGCACCCATTTTTTGTACAGCCCAGGGCTAAGTACTGTGGGAGCCGCAGATGTATAAACATTGTCTCCAGAACATGACAGTGATAGGTAGAAAGAAAGAATATGCATTAAAAGGGAGGTGATAATTAAGTACTAAAAGAGATACAGACTCTAGGTACTGTAATTCACCAGAACCTGTAATCACTGGGATATGGAGGTCAGGGAAAGCCGCTTTGGATAAGTGACAATTTTAGCTGGGACTTAAAGAGTAGCTATAATTTGTTAAATAGGGGGAAAAAATGTTCAGTGTAGGCAAGGCATGGCTGCAAGAATGATCAGGATTTCATAGACCAGTCTGGCTGTAAAGAACTGGTTAGGAAGCAATGAAAGATTTTGAAAAACCTTGACTCTCAGCTATCAGAGTTTGAAAGTTGCAGTATGAGGATGGAGAGCCATTGAAAGTTTTCAAGCAAGAGAGACAAATGATTAAAGCAAGGGGATTGTTTTAGATTCCATATGTATCCTGATCTAGAGAGGAGAGCTTGATTCAGGGAGACCAAACAGGATGTAGTAGCAAAGCCTAGGTGTGAAGTGAAAAGGGGCTGAATCAGAATGGTTGCGCTGGGAGTAGAAAGAAAATCCTGAGAGCACGACAAAGGAAGAGTCAGTAGGACTTCCTAAGTGACCGACTAGAGCTGGAGGGTGGGATGTGCAGGAAAAGAGAAAAATCAAATTGGACTCTAAAGTTTCTGTCCTGGGTGATGAGGAGAGTGATGGTGGTAGAACAGGGGGAAATACAGCAGCTGGGAAGGAGAGCCCGTTTGCGGGAGACGAGTTCAGGTGTAGGTGCCTTTTATCGGTGAGTGTAAGGCACGCAGAAGGCTTCTGGTTGGGTGGAAATTTCCACTAGGCAGAGGAGCAGACAGGTATCTGAGCTATTTCTGACTGCCCTGAAAAATAGGGAACTTGTTGCTGAGGGAAGAGAAGCTAAAGGGAAAGATTCAAAGTCATCCAGAGAGTTAGTGGTTGAAAGTCAAGCATTTAACAGCTTCTTTTAAGCACAGGTAATTTATGGATACATTCTCCGTGTTTAAAAAAAGAGAAAAGGCACAGAAGTATATAGGATAAAATGTGGAAATCCCACTCCACCCTGCCTACCGCCCATAAGAGAACTCCTGTTACCATTTTGCTGTGTGTCCTCCCTTCCAGGCTCTTCCCTTTGCATTTCCCCCCAGGGAGATAGTACATTACTCCTTGCTCGGTGATTTGTGAGTTTCCCTAGGCACTGTCTCTGAGAGATCTTTCCATATTAGTCCCTCTAAATTCTAATTGCCCTTCTCCTTCTAACAACTGGAGAGATCTCAACAGTGGGCACTGAGCCAAGTATTTGGTTTATAAAGAAATCATAGTGTTTCTTTATATTTATTGTTGATGATAAATTTTTGCCATTTTTTCTGTTTAGTTGTTTATCATTTTCTCTTTGGAAGGAGTCATTTGAGATACCTAGGTGATTTTAGGAAAAAACACTTTCAAGGTAATTAACTGGCATTATCTGCCCAAGAAGTTGGACAGATAGGAAGTTCAGTTTCTGAGGATATGCCCTATTATTTGTGCCCCGTGTTTTATCTTTATTAGCTGTGTAAACTGGGAAGCTGATAGCTGTGGACACTGGAAAGCTGGTATTTTCTGCATTTGAATATTCCCCTGGTTGCCATGATAAGGTTGCCATGATTCTTTTGCTTATTCTGTTCCTTCTTTTCCTCTCTATTGAAGGATATGCACTGTGTTTCTTCACAGAAATTTCCAAGGAAACTCTATTTCTTACGTTGAAGAAAATACATGGAAGTCATACACTTGGGTTGAGAAACTGTGAGTATATTCTCTCCAAATATGAACACAAAAAACTAACTGTATTGTAACATGTTTCTTGGTCAAGAGTTTTGAGGTCAGAAGTTCTGAGAAAAGGTATTTCCCTCTCCGTATCTCAAATCGACCTCTACTGATTGCAATTCTATGTTTATTTCAGAAATTAAATTTGGTGGGTTCTCTTTAAGAGTCAACTTAAACTTACTTTCCAGTATGCAAGGAACACATGATCATGTTCTCGATATATAAAAATGAAATAACAGGAAGAGTGAAAACCTTCCGTGTGCCCTAACCCCCCACCCCTGAGGTTACCACTACTCTGAATTTAGTATATATCCTTCCAGATGTTTTTCCATGCATTTGTCTACATAAGTATTTACAGATAGCAAAATAGGTTTGTTGTGTGATTTTCTTACCTTTTCTACATGAAGGGTAACATCCTATGACTGAATGCTTTCACTTTTTGACACGATTTAGATTTCTTCCCACTACATAGAAGGCTACCCCATTTATTTAAACTCCTGCATAATATTTTATGGTACAGATTTATCACAGTTAATACTTCCTGTGTTGCTGGATGCTTAGATTCTGTTGTTTTCTTGTCACATGCATCGCTCCAATGAATATCCTTGTACTCGCATCTTTGTCAACATGAGCAAGTATCTCTGTAAAAGAGATATCTAGAAGTGGAATTGTTGGGATTAAGACTGTGTAGGTAGAAAATTTGAATTGCCCTTAAAATGGTTGTGCAATTTATACTCTAATCAACAGAGATTGCCCTTGCTTTCAGATGCAGAGTTTCCAGGTGGTAGTAATTGAATTGTTGTAAGCTATGAGAAAGGAATTAATCTATGAGGTGGAATTAATATCAATATGTGACTAACAGACCCTGTGAGGGAAAGCAGAATGTTTATATGCAGAACTTGGTGGAAATAGTTCACAAAGCAACATAGCATGTTCTCAGATCCCCAAGGTGCTTGAAGGATGTAAAACTGTTAGTATTACCTCCCAGGAAGGTGATTCCCAGGGAAGGGACATTTGCTTTTGAAATCTTAAAGACTTTCTTCTGTGGTGTATCTCTTATCACTCCCTTGCTCCACTCTGGGAGACACTGGCTGTATACTCTCCTGCTCATCAGGTGTGAAGAAATGGGTGCGAACCATCCTGCCCAGCAGGTTGTCTTTACTCTGGGAGTAGGTGAAGCAAAGGTGTGAACATTCGTGGGCAAACTCAGGTGTCAGGTTTGTCTGTGGATTATTCCCGTTCCCTTCATTCTGCATTCTGGAGAAATCATTGGCAGGATCTCTGTTTTCTAATTTATTCTTCAAAGGCGCATATATTGAGGGTTTTTATTATTATTAATAATAACACTCTTCATTCATGTAATCCTGAGTTGATTCTTTTTCATGGACGCACTCTCTGACTCAGGATATCAGTTCTGCCATTCTAAAGTCCTCTCGTGCTCCCTCTCTTCGCTCTGGTTCATTGGCTATCAGCTCATTTGCTTTTGTTTTCTGTCCGTAACGGAGCTGGCTTTCTTTGTCATTTGGTCATTCCTGAGTGCAGTTCGTCTTTGAGTTGAGATTCTCCTGCTTGTGTTTCCTGGCTCTCGGACAGAGGTGACTTGAGCTGCTGGGGCTTGTTATTCCTAAAGGAGTCCCTGAAAGTCAGAGGAGGTGGGAGGTGGCTTCTGGTGGCTAGACAGAGCACCCACCTTTCCCCCAGGTTCTGGGCCCCTGGCCCGTTGAGCACGGATGCTCCTACCTGGAGGAAAACGCCCTTTGCTCTCTGGCCTGAGGAGGAAGGATTTGGGGCCACGTGCTGCCCCTGCTCCTGCAGCAGCATTTCAGCTCGTCACCCTGTGGGTAATTCCAGGCCATTTCTGGTAGAGAAGCATGTGTGGAGCTGCTCCCACACTTTGCGGTAAGGTTGTGGATTTTTTAATCATGTCTTTTCCATCATTCTTAGGGATTTAGCTGGTGGTTGGAGGAGTAGAGGCTTGGCATTTTCCCATTTGCCAACTTGAAATAGCACAACTTCTTAGGAGAACAGTTTTGTACCCCCGCTGGATCCTAGGGAAACTCAGGCAAATGCATATCAAAATAGAAGTATAAGATAGTTTAAAGCAGCATTGTTTGTACTAACGAAAGCTAGAAAAATCTTTATATCCCTCAACAGTAGAGTGAATAAATAAAGTCTAGCATAGTTATACAATGGAATATTATTCTTTAGAAACATAATGCAAGGCACGTAAGTTATCTTAAATTTTCTGGTAGCCACTTAAAAAATAAAAGTAAAAAGAAACAGATGTAATGTGAAGGCATTTTATTTAAACCTTATGTCCAAAATATTATTATTTCAACATGTAATCATTCTATACATTAAGATAGTCTGCATTTTTTTCATACTGTCTTTAAAATATCCAAAGTATTATAATTTCTACCTGCAATTGGTATGAAACTTACGCATTTATATTCTTTTTTCCATACTAACTCTGTAAAATCTCAGTTTAGTTGCAAGATTTTTATCAGAAGTTACTTGATCTCTCTTTAGATTTCATAAAATTTACAGTTGGAAAAATAGTATCATATGCCCGAGTTATTGCAAAATACTGAAATGTTTTCCAATAACTGCATCAAATATCAGTTTTGAATTTAACTTTTAAAATAGTTAAAATTAATTAAATTAAACTTCAGGTTCTCAGTCACACCAGCCACTTTCAAATACTCAGTAGCCACATGTAGACGAGCATGTAACTCTAGGCATTAAAGTGAACCAACCTCAGGGGCATGTGACAATAGAATGAATTTACAAGGTAAGGTTGAATGAAAGAAGCAGTGTAGAAAGTAATACATATATAATATGATTCCATTTATATACTAAGTTCAAGAAGAGGCAAGACTGCACTATGTTGCTTATGGCTGGCACCTCAAAGGTAAGACCACATTCCAAAAGCAGGGAGATGAGTTAAAAAGTCAGGACAGTGGTTACCTCTAGTGGGTCAGAGAGCAGTTTGTGATGGGAAAGGGGCACACTGAGGGCTTCTGGGATGCTGACAGTGTTCTTGACATGAATGGTGTTACATGGGTATTTTCTTCATAATTATTAACATGGACATTTTAACTTTTTTATCAAGGTATCATTGGTATACACTCTGATGAAGATATCACATGAAAAACATTGTTTACTACTTGTCTTCTGTGTGCTACACTGTATTCACTGTGACCTCCACACACACCATGTGTACCAATCATAGTACCCCTCAATCCCCTTCTCCATCCCTCCGCACCCAGCCTTCCCCACACCTCCTCTTTAGTAACTGCTAGACCCTTCTCAGAGTCTGTGAGTCTGCTGCTGTATTAAATGGGACATTTTTCTTATGTGTATTTTAATGCACTTTTTAGTTCCCCGAAACAATATTTTTAGTGGTGGAGGGGATTGAACAGCTTCACTTGCAGCCTTGACATAGTTCTGTGTGGGGCTCCCATAATAAGGTTCAGGCAAAGAGAGTGGGAGGAAATGGCAGTTCTGCTGACGATGGTGCCACCCACAGTTGGGTTCTAAACGAGACTTGGGGATCGAGAGAGTAGGTACTAAATACATATTTTGGTGTTTGGAGTGGAGAGTTGTGTGTGTGTGTGTGTGATGAAGAGAGAGGGACACAGAGGAGGACATGACAGGAAAGATGTGAATGAAAACAGAGCAGAGATCACCATCCCTAAATTAAATAAGAATTAGGTTGTTTAGGTGGTACCATTATCATTACCCAGGTCTCCCACTCATGTAGAAAATAGTCCTGTACAGTAAATCATTTTAATTATTTTGCATTTTGATTCAGAAGTAACCTTTCCATTTTTCAGAATTCTCAGTGACAATCAGTTGAGTGAATTACATAAAGACTCATTGGAAGGCCTGCTACCCCTCCAGTATTTGTAAGTTACTTACTCACATTTATTTATGAGCTTTTAGTTATATTATCTATAACATAAATAAGAGTTTAAATTAGACAAGTTCTATAATTTCTCCCAACAATAAAAATTTACAATTCTGTAAGTCTGTGTAGGGTGGGCGCTAGCCACTCTCTAGCATTAAATACCTCCTATGTGTTTTCAATTTTTTGATCATGTGGATGAGATACAGATAGAAAAACCCTTCAGTTACAGAGGAAAAGTGGTAATGAGGTCTGAGCGATTAGACACCCATAGGAGCCTTGTTATATAAGTGTTCCTATGCCCTCTGTTTATATTAACATTTAGTTTATGGCCTGTGGATCAAATCCAGCCCATGGTCCATTTTTATACAGCCCTTAAGAGTGATTTCTACATTTTTCAAGGGGCATAAAAGGAAAAAAGAAAAGAAAGAAAGAAAAATATGCAACAGAGACTCCACGTATCCTGAAAAGCCTACAATATTTACTTTCAGGCCTTCACAGGAAAGATTTGTAAAAGTTGGTTTAGTGAGATGAGAGGAATTAAAGTGAACGTCATATTGTCACTTCAAAGACAAGAAAATATAGAATATTTACATTAACTTGAATGCCATTAACCCAGAATATTTTTATAATTTAATCTAAATTAACATCAAAACATTAAGTACTTAGGCAGAAGAATTATGTAAACAACATTATCAAGAACATAGCTACCAAGAGAAGAGACTGGTGTTTACGATTTCAGTGCAGGGATGGTACCAATATTAAAAACAGATGTTTGAATTGGTGATTAACTGCTATAGTTGGAAATGTTTACATTGACACTAAATAAGCATATTAGAAATGGCCCTAACTTCTCTAATTACCAACTAATTGGCACCAGTCTCATTGTCAAGTAAGTACTATGCCTGCATAGTACTTCTTTTTGTTTGGAAGTAAGCAGATACTCTGTTGCTATAAAAGCTCAATGTTTATTCTTTGTCTTTAGCATGCAGAACTGTATATGTCATCCTTATTACCCTAATTAATGATGCTCTTTTGCAAACAGATTCTTCTTGCAAAATAGAAGCTTAAGGGAATCGGATGTAAAGGGCCTCACATGACAATAAAAATAGTCCCTTGAGTTTTCAAACCTTCCAAGCCATAAGGGACACTTTTGTATTGATCTTACGTACCTCTGCCATCTGGGCTCCAAACCTTGCAAACACAAATGAAATAACTGCTCAGTGGATTAGGCCCTTCATTACTTCTTTTATAAAATATTTTGTAAGCTAAGTATTTCATTCTCATAAGTATTCTCATTACTTTAAAAAAATGCCAATCGATAAAAAAGCCAAAAAAGAATATGACAACCACTGTGCCTCATATTACAGGCACAAAGATGGGTAAGACAGGGTTCCTACTGTCTTATGATCACTGTGCATAGGCACTGATTGAATGACAAAGTGCTGCAGAGGTGCAGAAGAGGGAGCTATTTGAAAAGCCATTTATTTTTAAATGATCACTTTTCTTCTACTCCCCAGCTCTTCATTCATTTTATAAATATTTGAGTTTATGTCCATGCATCAGTTTTAAAAATGGTAGACAGCGAAGGTACGTAAGAAGGAAGTTTATGCTCAGAGGAAATGGATGTGAAAATAACTATATTAAGAAGAGGAAATGGATGTGGGCAGTGAGAGGTATGAATTGTTCAGGGAGCACAAAAGTGGGGAAAAAGACTTCAAGGTGGTAAAAAAGATGCTACAAGAGCAATGCTGTTAGGGCAACAGCTTGAGGGGCTTTTGGGTATCGTCAGACAGACATCTTGGGAAGAATAAGTTTGCAAAAGAAGAGTGGCAGAAAGGCAGCACACGGGAAAAATAGCTTGTCCTATAGAGTACATCGGGTGTTAGGGCGAGACCTTCTGGGGCTTCGAAGGCCAAGCCGAGGGTAACAAGCTGTCATGCTATCTCGGCAGCACTCCAGGACAAACTTCAGCCTGCTGGAAGATCACTTGGAGGACTTCTCACAGCACACGCACCCACCCCACAGTTACTGATTCAGTTGGTCCCGAGTAGGGCTGAGAATTTACATCTTCGATAAATTCCCAGGCGATGCTGGTGTTTGAGAACCACTCATGGAGAGTTAATGTGGTGACTTTGTGCAGGACAGATTAGAAAGGAGTGAACCAGAGGCAGGCATACCCTTCAGAAGAGTTAATACGCATCTAGGTGAAAAGTGAGGGATTAAGCCTGAACCAATGGAAATAAGAGAGTCACCTGTAACAGTCAAGAGTGAGTGATTTAAAATAAAAATCCAATACCATGTTGCTGTTTTTTTTGTCCCACCACTGTGCAACTGAAGCAGTTAAATTCATGGAATATTAAAGCAATGGAAACCAAAAAGGAGCTACCATTAAAATAATAGAAAGTATAATTCTGAATTGGTTTAAAGCAACTATTAGTTAGAGGAGTAACTTCCTTTCAAATTATGTGAAAGACATCTTTTATTTTTTCTGGTGTTGAAATGGCCTAGAAAGAATAAAACCAGAAAGGTTTGTAAATGTGAGAATATTCCTTTCAATATTGGAAATTATATATGGAGATAAAAACTTTTGAGCTCCTACTATGGAATTTGATGGGACCACAAAAGTTGATCTAATCAGTCCTTCTGCTCTCAGGAAGGATTATCTCAACAATCTCTCAAGATCTATGGTTGTATATTTTATTTACGAAGATAATGAAAGTGAGACTTAGGTGAGGGCAGGGATAGGGGCTCTGGAAGGTTCACATAATTTCTAACGTGTAGAGTTTAGATAAGAGTTACTTATTCAATGTGACTATTCTAACCTCTACTAGTTATCTCTGTTAATTAGATATCTGATAGCTGAGACAATATTTTTCCTTTTCCTTTTCATTTTTCTAGAGATTTATCCTGCAATGAAATACAATCTATTGAAAGACGTACATTCGAATCACTACCTTTTCTGCAGTTTATGTAAGTTACAAGTACAAATTAATTATGTTTGTAATTTTTATAAACTTAATTGTAAACCTCTTTGTTATTCATTTTGAAAATTGAAATATGTTAAATGGAGAGCTACTAAAATTATGTGGCCACATCCTTTTTGTGTCTAAGAAACCCTGGTATAAGAATGATCATATCAATCTGAGTGACTCATTCTAGAGCAGGGGTTCTCAAGTAGGGTGATTTTGTGCCCAGGAGACACTAGGCCGTGTCGGGACACATTTTGGTTGTCAGAACTGCAGCTATGCTGCTGGCATCTGGGGGGCTGAGGCCGGAGATGCTGCTCAATAGCCTACAGTGCCCAGAACAGCGCCCACAAGGATTATTCTGCCCAAGATGTCAACAGTGCAGTCATGGAACCCTTTTCTAGAGAATTAAGGATCACTTAGACGAGTGTGTTTTGAGCACTTATTCCTTTGTATCTAGCAATACATGTGTAAACATGAAAGTATAAATCTTTCATACAAATATATTTTATTTTATTCATATTTTCTGTAATAATACCACTGATACCAGGAAAAAACCTAGATGTCAATTACTAATCCATCTTTCTCTTTTTTATAAAACAAGTGTACTTGACAGACAATCGTTTTTTTATACAAATGTTAAAAATAAAACAAATATCTTCCATAGTGAGATTTCTTTAGTGTACGAGGAAGTATTGAGGTTATGTTTCATCATATACAGATTAGAATCCCTGCCAAGGGGTAAATGTTCTGAAATAATATTTTTCTTCTTTTTCTTGTATATTTTTTTTGTAGAAATCTTGGTTGCAATCTAATTACAGAACTGAGCTTTGGAACATTTCAGGCCTGGCATGGAATGCAGTTCTTACACACATTGTAAGTGAAATAGAAGATGAATATGTGTAAAAAAATGATGTGTAAAAACATGATACAGTTACTGGTTAGCTGCGGGTAAGCTCAGTATGAGCTCTGAAAAATTGTGTTAAGATCCATTTTTTTGCAATGAGGAAATGAAGGTACAGAGAGAGGGGCCAAGAGACATGTCTGAGTCATACATGGCAGGCTCCGCTTTCCTGATCTTTTGCACAGGCAACAACAGCACTCCAGCATGTAACACCCACGCCAGCATTGTCACGGGGATCCACGACTGTGACGCTCTCCTTGGTGGGTGGGTCTCACAGTTCCACTTCTGAACCTAACTGTTTCCTGCTCTTGGAACACAGCGCTGAAAGAACTAGGTTCAGCACAAAGTTCTCCAGGGAGCAACTGGTGTCGGTGCTTCCTCAGCCATCAGTTTCTTTTAAATGAAAGGAGTTCTGAAAACTTGCCACACGGATCTTCTCTCCCCAGTCACCCAGAAAAATACCTTTCAAACTGTGTTCACCTCTGATGTGCATTATCTGTGAGCAGTAGGAACCTTTGAGGAATGGAAAAAGATGTTTGTGTTAAGCTGTCATGTGCAAAATAGTCATAAAGAAAATACATTGCTGTAGCCTCATTCCATATACTTTCTTTCCTGACTATCCAATAAGAAATGGGGGTTTTCCTCCCTTTTGCTTGAGTGCTCTGTGGCACAGCCGAGTTCTCTGTGACACAGGCAAATCACTGGGTTTCATAGTTTTCAGTGAATCAATCTTGTGTTTCTTTGGCTAAATTTTTTCCTAAGACTTATTCTTTGTGATGCTGTTAGACTTGGAATTGTTTTCTCAATTTCATTTTTGGATTGTTCACTGCTAGTGTACAGAAATACAGCTAATTTTTGCTTACTGATTTTGTCTTCCACAACCCTGCTGAACTCATTGATTAGTGCTAATGGTTTTTTTCTAGATTCTTAGGAATATGTGTCATGGGCTTCCAGTTTCCCAGGAATGTGTTGGAGCCGTTCAAAGTCTCTATGAACATCTCCTCCCTCAGCTTGTCCTTTTAAGCTTTTTTGTTCGGCTGTTTTTTGTCCACTGCCTCACACACCTACCACATTAAACCATTTACCTGTAATTGTTTTAAAAAATGCCCTCTGAGGAGAGGCTTATAGCACTAGGCAGCTCCCAGTCAGGTCAAAGACAAGCCTTTCAGGGAAGGTCCTCCAGGGCACCACCAGACAGTAACACGGAGACAAGTCTTTGGGAAGGAGGCTCTGAAGGAACTCAGGCTGTTTTTCAAAGCTACCACTGGATGGAGAGCAAAGGTCTAGGAGAAGTTAAAGCAGCACAGATCTCACTGTTTGTAGAGAAATTAATGTTTTTCTTGAATAAATTCTCCCCACATTGCTGTAAGCCCACTGATTAAATATCCAGAGTTTGGAAAAAGCTGGTTTGGCCATTTCTGCTAGTTTTTTGTTGTTGTTGTTGTTGTTGTTGTTACTTTTATAGGATAAATTTTCAGATGCCCTTACTCCATCATTTTCACTGATTCTCCTGCAACATGGTTTTAAATCTCTAAAGTCTCAAAGACCACAGGATAATTAGATATTTAAGCATGGGAGGTGGTTAGGGAAAAGGAATAAAAAGAGAAAATGTAATTCTCATAGAGGTTTCCCGGATGGGTAGATCAAGTTCGAAAAGGTATTTCTATATTTAGTGCTGTCAAAATTGAGGTTAAAGTAAAAGCTGTCTTAAATCCCTTTCTCCCATACAAGTTAAACCCAGGCTTTGGAACCAGAGCTGAGTTCAGATTTCAGCTCTGCTTCTTAGTACTAGCTTGATGATTTAGGACAAGTTATATAACCTCTCTTTACCTCAGTTTCCTCGCTTGTAAAATGGGGTAATAATAATAATAATATGTATCACACAAGGTTATTGTGAGGATTAAATGTGAAAAGCTGATCACAGATGCCTGGCAGCCCAATAGATATTAGTTGTGATAATATTCTGCAAAATGCACTAATGATTCTTGAGTAAAGTTAATTTACAAGAAGATTTTTCCTTCCTGTTTTTTTTTTTTTTTTTTGGTCTGTTGTTTGTTTTAAAGAATTGAGAAGAAAATCTCAGCATTTTGGAATAAAAATTTGCATCAAAAATGAATTTGTTCATTTTATTGATGTGTAAGCAAAATGTTATTTATTTATTCAAAAAACTTTTATTAAATACCTAGTAAACACCAGGCACCATGTCAGGCACAGGAGTGACACTGACAGTAAAGTGTGGTCCCTGCCGTCAAGGAGCTGACAATCCAGGAGACTGACAAGTGAACAGGTGATTGTGTGCAGTGTAGCCAAGGCTGTGACGGGAGCAGGGGTTTTACTGCCTCCTCTCAGGTTTATCCCTGTCTCTTTGGATCGAAAAGCAAGGAACTGGTCCTGCTGTCACTGCGTGGTTTAAACTGTGGAACTGTTTTAATTTCCAGAACTGAAAGAAAAGCACCTTGGATTATGGAGGACCTAGGAATACCATTTCCTTCAGAGCAAGGGGATTTCCTCCCAGCATAGTCACTTTGTGGGATTCTCAATCTGAAAAGTTTTTGCTTTCCACTTTTTTCTGTGTTTTTCCTCTTTCTCTTCTCCCCTTTATCATCTAGAGACCTAGGTAGGTAGTTCCCAAAGCAAGAGTGCTTTACAGACTCTAAGTGTGATTTATAGGTAAAGACAGATAACGATTTTTTCTTATAACCTTTAAGTCCTATACCAAAAAAAAAAATGAATGCAAGTCTCGTCAAATGCAGATAATTTTAATTCCATTGCATTTTTTCAGAAATCTCAGTCATAATCCTCTGACAACTGTTGAAGATTCTTATTTTTTCAAATTGAGAGCATTAAAATATTTGTAAGTATTGCAACAATCTCATGGTTTATGAGATGATTTCTGCTCTTTTACTTTCATCAAAGATTAAGTATTTTGCATTTTGGCTAAAAAAGAATAATTTTAATTTTACCTGGGTTATTGAAATAAGAGTTTTGGGCAAAGAAAGGATTAAGAAAGAATGTATATGTGCAAGACAAGCTATCAGAGAAAGAGAGTGGTGCTGAAGAACGCACATAGATATGGAATGTGCAGATGCACGTAGAAATATAACTTATCCCAGAAAGCAAAGAAGAATGCGGTGTATTTAGAAAAAGTAAGTAATCTAGAGTGGTGGGTGCAGGTGAGAATGAGAAGCAGGGCAATGACAAAAAGATCATAGTGTTCAGGGCCAACGTCATTAATTTTTAAATTTCTTCCATAATTTCTCTCTGGAATTATCATCTGTGGCAGATAAACTCGTGCTGGCTAGACAGAAAAGCCAAAACTGAAGTAATAATGTGTCATTAAGTATCTTTTTAAGTATAGGGCTTTTGTCTTTGAGTTCGTATCATAAACGTTTGTGCTCTTTACTTCAGAGACATGGGAAAAACCCAAGTGACACTTAAAACAGTTGAGAGCATCGTCATGATGAGCCCCAAGTTAGAAAAACTGTAAGTTGATTTTTCTTGTATTTATTTTCACTTAGTTGATTTTTTAAAGTTTCATTATTTTATTAAGTCAGGCTTATTGAAGTATGATTTTCATGTAATAAAATTTGCTTTCTAAGTGTACAGTTTGATGAATTTTAACAAATGTATAATTATGTAACCACCACCATACGAAATGCAGAACCCATGTGACTCCAAAAAGGCCCCTCATGGCCGTTTGCAGGCAAACCCCTCCTCCCACCACCAGCGCCTGGCCACCACCAGTCTGATTTTCATCCCTGCAGTTTTTGCCATTTCCAGGTCTTCTCAATGAACTCATATCGCATGTAACCTTTTGTGTTGGCTCTTTTTACTTAGCATAATCTTTTTGCGAGTCATCCATGTTGTCACAGCTGTCCCTCCTTTTTACTGCTGAGTAGAGTTCCATACCAGTCATCAATTAACGAACATTTGAGTTGTTTCTAGTTTGGGCTATAAAAAGCTATGACAAACATTCACACGCAGGTCTTTGTGTGAACATGTTTTTGCTGCATCATATGCTAGGTATGTATTTAACTTTTGAAGAAACTGCTAAGCTGTTTTCTAAAGTAGCTGCACCATTTTGCATTCCAGAAAGCAGTGCATGAGGTTTGACTGTTGCTCCACATCTTCACCTGATCCTTATATTCAGTGTTTTACAAATGTTAGCCTTTCTTGGAGGTGTGTGGTTGTGTCTCATTGTGGTTTTGATTTGCATTTCTCTAATAGATCTCTAATCTCTGATGATGTTGTCTATACATGTGCAGACATCTTCTTTAATGGCATGTCTGTTCAAATCTATTTTTTAATTGGATATTTATCTTACTGTTGAGTTTTAAGAGTGCTTTATATATTCTGGAAAAAGTCCTCTCTCTCAGATATGTGTTTAGCAAATATCCTCTCTCAGGTTATAGCTTGTCTTCATTCTATTAAAAGTATCTCTGAAGACCAGAAGTCTTTAATCTTTGAATTTTGATTAGCTCTAGTTTTTCTTATAGGTTTGTGCCTTTTTTGTGCGTTATCTAAGAAATCTTTGTCTGGGAACCCATTGCCAGTCCAAAGCCACAAAGATTTTTCTCTTATGTTTTCTTTCAATAAGTTGAATACTTGTTGGTTAATTAATTTAGGTCTATCTGTGATCCATTTTTATTAGTTCATTTTCACATATAATGTGAGATAAGGGTCAAATTTCATTTTTTATCTTTGCAGTTTAAAAAAATGTTTCTGTAGGGCTTTCTGACAATTTATTACACAACTTACTGCACCTTTAATTGTGCCATCCCCCTCCAATGTGACAAGCTAACAGAAATTTGGTATTATGCTAAGGCTAACTGATGGCCTTACACAAGATTAGTATGGGAAAGGCCCCTGCATTTAGCAGTCTGCTCTCGCCGTTTTTGTCAGGTCAGCTGAGAAATGACTGTCTTCCCCTCACCGTCAGATCTACTGGCCACTGCTCTAGCCTCATCTTCTCAACATCCCACAGCATCTGCCAGTCAGTCTGTCTCTTGTCAGCTACATGCCTTCCTCTCTGGGTATCCAAATAATTTCCCTATATGCTTAAAATACTAAAAACACACTGAAGAAATGAAATTCCTATGCATAATGTTATCTAATGAAGAGTTGATATTCAAATTTCCTCAGTTGTCTCCATTATATCATTTATTTCTAACAGATCAGTGTCACCCAGTTCTAATCCCTATCACCTTTATTCTAGGCCTACGATACCCACTTCCATTCTTACCCTACTGTGAGGCATCTCTGTCCTCCTGTTTGTTTACAGTATTCAAGAACAGTGGTTGGCCAGCTCATCCCTAGCCAACCTCACAGGCCATATGTTCCAAGAACTCCTTTTGCACAGCCCTGTGGGTGGCCTGGGCCTGCCTCTTATACCTAGTCAAGTAACTCCTTTACCACTGATTTAATTCTCTGTGTTTCAATTTATAGGATTTTACCTATCCATATGACCTGCTGCCTCTGCCAATTTAAAAATAATATTGAGGTTTTCTGCAACACAGTCAAGCTGCATTGTGACAGTGAATGTCTGACAAACATCGCATATTGTGGTGAGTTACCATTATCCGGTGATGTTTTATTTATGTTTTAACTGTTAATTTTTAAACTAATGGTGTTAATTGCATTATTTTTATTAATTCATTAAGAGTTCAACTCCCTACATTTCTAAGAACTACTCCTTTGCTAAAAGTCAGATTCTCAGTTACATTAAGCTAACAGTGACAGTGATCCACATACTTAAAGGAACAAGAGAAAGGAATGGAAGGGGAAAGAATGAGCATTAGTGGCCACATCCTGTGTACTGTGCTCTCTGCCTGGTGCTTAACCCCTGAATGAGAACTTACTCATACACGTATTACAGTTCACAAACTGATTTTATATGCCTGAGGTCTCATGTGCCCTTTGTCTTGTAGGACAAGTATAGATATATTTTTGTTTATTTTTGCAATTTTTATAGAGGAGTACAAGTAGTGCTATTTTATGAAAGTTTTCTTTGGAACCTGAGAGTTTCTGGTTCTATAACCAGAAGCTGCTGCTCAGCCCTCCTAATGGATGGGAAGGCTCTTCTGTTCTTAGACTGTCCAACTCTAAATTTGCTCTGAACTCAAGCCTTTCTATCCCCAAAAACACTCAGGTGCTTTTAAGTATTTTTCTGTGTAGTAGGTTTTATTCGCACTAACGTGATGACTTCCAAAATGTGCTTTCATGCTCAGATAGCTTGAATACAAGTCTCTGGGGCACATCATAAAATGGTCTGGGGTGCATCATAAATAATACTTTGCTTCTTCTATAAATACAATGTTGCTTATTTAAAATAAAATTCTTTTTTGCCAGTTATATCACTCTCTTCTCCCACTAAAGATGGGCAAAACAGGCATTTTCATTCTACTTCTATAGGTGAGGAAAAATGAGATCCAAGTGTTATATTTTGTAGCTTAGTGCTCAGGTCTGCTAGCCTCGGTTTGGGGCTCTCTTCAAGCCCATGCTCCTCCTTCCTCACGACCCTTACCTCCTCCTCTGACCCTCACCACCACCACCAAAAATACTTATAATTCTTCTGGAAAATAAACCCAGCTGGCCAGTGAACTTGTGCAGCTGCCCTTGGCCTTCACGTAGTCAGAAGCTTTGGTTGGTTCCCCAAGTAAAACTGGAAATACTAGAAATGAAATTAAATGAAAGCAAAGCAGGTGTCTGAAAAAATTTTGTTTTTTCCCTTTTGCATTTTAGGACCTCAGGTATTGTTCCTTTGATTTATTGAATATTCCACATTGATATAACAACCTGACAGCTCTCAACCCACACCCCAGATCCCTGCTCAAATTTAAGCAAAGAGCCAGGGTAGACATGGTGTTTTTTTGTTTTTGTTTTTTCCCCCTTTATAGAGCCTTCTCTCATGGGGGCTGGGATATATGGAAGCAGGGACCAAGCAAAGGAATAGGTTGGTAGGTGGAGAAGGGCATATGTAGAAGAGAACTTATTTGCAGTGGGTGGTGGTGGTGTGCTCATCTGTGATGGTAGCAAGAGCAGGAACACACTGCAGAGGTGGAGAGGGAAAGCTGCACACTCCCTTTGCATCTGAAGCACTACAGGATGGAGTATGTGAACGTGAGGAGTCACTGTTAGATCTGCAGAGAATCTAGTCGAGGGCGAGTATTTGTCTTCTTGCCTTGGCTTTCCTTGAGCACGGGACAGTTGGCCCTTGAGGACCAATGGAATGATCCTGCACATAGTAGTGTATTTTGCACTATGGAGTGTTCCTAGCAAGAAGCGGCTCTTTCAAAAGACATATTTCTCTCCTTTTGTTGATGCCAACCATAGGTTTAAGTTTGTGTTTATTTTTCTCCTAATCAAACCTCAAATGTTTGCTGATTCCCGATCTATTTGACTGATATATATGGCTATGGACTGACAAAAAGCTGTCTCATCAGTCTTTCATTATCAAAAACAGTCTCTCCTCTTTTTTAAATTGAAGTATCATTGATATACAATCTTATGAAGGCTTCACATTAGCAACATTGTGGTTTTGACATTCACCCATACTATCAAGTCCCCTCTACCCACCCCCAACCCCATTGCAGTCACTGTCCATCAGCCTAGTAAGATGAAAAGCAATCTCTTCTTTTTGACAGATGATGAAACATCTGTAGGGAACCCAGAAGGGTCGTTCATGAAGGCATTACAATCCCGGAAGCAGAGTAGCAGCCCTGAGCTGACTATCGAGCCAGAGAAGGTGGCCACAGACAAAAATGCCATCAGTTTGTCAGCCTTCAAAAATGAGCAAGGAGACTTTAACAAGGAAAGTGTTGTTAGTGCACTGAACAACATATTACCTTATTTCTCTGACAAATATCTGGAAGGTGCAGAATCAGCACTATTACAATTCATTAAACAACTTGTTTCAAACCTACAAGGAGGAGATGAGCCTGTGGGGCACTTGCAAAACAACGCAGAGAACACTTCTCTTCCACCTGGATCCAGCATTTCGGCTGACAAAAATAAACAGAAAATAATCTCTGTTCTGGGAGATATCATAGATGGCATGCCTCTACATTCCAAACTTCTGAATCCCAGATTTCAGCCCCAAATCTCCACCAAAACATTGGAAACTGCCCAATTACAAGAAAAGAACCCACCAGAGATTCAGAGTGTAGGGAGGAGGCCGGGGCCTTTGAAGGTGGTCATCAAGGGCCCAAAGGGCATTCAGAAGAGGCGACGCAGACAAATGAGGAAGGCTGGCATCAATGGGAAGCAGAGGGCCCAGCTCCTTGTGGAGAGCATGGCCGAAGAAAAAGGCCTCACGACCCCATCCCCAAGGGCACCAGAGCAGCCTCACGTGGAGCAGCCCCCCAGGGAGACCACAGAAAGCTCCTTCAACACAGATTCTTCATTCAAAAGGGAACAGGAGGCAGCCGTCCCTTCTGTCCAGTACTTGATGGGCAGGCCTTCTGCTTCCAATACTCCAAAATCTCTACCTGAGATTAAACCAAAATCCAAAGACCTAGCTGACAGTATTTTTGTTTTAGAAGCTGCAAGTGCTGGAATGAGAAATATGAAGGCTTCTGAACCAACCTCACACTTCAGAGAAAAGTACCTCTTTCCTGAATCTTTGCGGCATGCGGGTCACAAAACACTCAAGGCCAAAATGAGTAGACAGTTCAGCAATAAAGGTTCACACAATAGTCCGATGGTTGTGAACAAGCCTCCATTCACTGCAATGAGCCTTATAAACTCCCCTTCACAAGAGGCTTTTTCATCGTCAGAACTGACTTTTCAGAAAAATCATTTTCCAGATTTATTTTCTCTTTTGGATCCAAGTCTCAAACTGACCACGGAAACACAACAAGAACACGTCAATGTGGGCACTGACTTACTCTCCACATCCACAGCCTTCCCTTTCCCAGGGAGCTCATCTCCAGGTGACCACCCGGGAGCTCAGCTAAACGAGCAGCTGCGGTCCCTCATCACCAACAGTGATGTGAGAAGGCTCATTTCTCGTGTTTTCTGGACTTTAAAAATGGGCTGCTCGGAGACCCACCTGAAACCAGCCTGTGCCAAGCTCATCTCCCAAACCGGCCTCCTGATGAAGCTTCTCAGCGAGCAGCAAGAAGCAAAGGAGCCCAGGGCAGACTGGGATACAGACCAGAGGGAAACAGAAAACTACATCCACGAGAGTCCAGAAGCCCAGAGTGAACAGAAAGAGCAGGAGTTCCAGGAGGTGAGGATAACGCCCAAAACATGGCCCCCAGCCTGTTAGTCAGTTTGGGACATGGCATTGAAGCACCCCGGCAGGAAGACCGCGGCCCCTAGTCTATGTCTTGTCTAGGCCTGGGCCTTTGGGGAAGACAGTGATCTCCCACTGTGCTCATTCAGACAATGACGCCACAACTGGTGTAGATGAGGAGGGGACCTAACACCCAAGATAAAGCAAGAAAATGCTGATTTATCATTAGCATTAGATTTGGTATGTTCTTGAAAACATTTACGCTGCTTACCTGAAATAATGAGATTTTATAAGAGCTTTTATCCTTTCCACCTCTTTGTTTTTGAAAAGTCTTTTTCCATTATTTTTTCAGTTCCCAAAAGCTCTGGTGCATGGGTATCGAATCAAAGTCATCTTGGCATTGTCAGTGACAGGAGCAGTGCTGGTGTTGATTACAGCTTTCTGCCTCATTAAGGTAAGGACAGTTAGTTCTGGCCTCCAGAGGAGAGTCTGTCTTTAGATTCAGAATCCACAAACTGAAAATCAAAGCCTCTCTCCCACTACTTGATATTCCTTTTTAGTCACCAGGACCGACATATGCTTTATTCTCTTCCTGCAAAGTATATGCCAGAGACTTTTAAAGGAACCCCGCTTGCAGGAGATCTCTGTGGAACTGACACCAGATAATGAGCCATTAGACTGTTTTGAGAGGTTTAAGAAGGCCAGAGTTAACATGACAGTAAAATATCTTCAACTCAAAACTAAGTCGATTTGACATCAGTCATTCCCGTCCTACCACTGATTTCTTTCCTTGTTGACTGGAATTATGAGGGATGTGTAATCTCCACCCTCGTGAGTGATCCGTCACCCTGGAAGAAAGGACACGGCTAAAAGAAACAAATGTGATCTTGTTGATTCATTAGATTTACTTTGCAACTTTCTTCGCCATCACGTAAGGCATTGGGGAAATAGGTTCAGTCAGATCACTGCAGCTAAAGCCCATGTCAGGGTTTCTAAAGCACTTGGTATTGACAGTCCTTCTGGAGCTGGCTTGCCTGCCTACCTTTTGTGCAATAACAGAATGGTTTGTTACTTTTCCCAACAGGCAGGGCTGACAACAACACAGTGATTTAATTAGCCAGTAAGCCTGACTCTACCTGACAAACCCAACCTCATTTCCTATATGTACCTTTTCTACTGTCGCAGCAGCCTTCTTTTCAGCCAGACCAGCTCCCAGGATGCCCAGTCGCATGCCCATTCTTACTTTTGTCTGTTCCTTTGCCCGTTTAAAATTCCCTTGTTTCACCTTGTAGAAGTCCCTCGAGTCTCTGAAAGCCAACTCAAGTTCATGTTTCTCCATGAATCCTTGCCTAAATACTCCAGTCCTTCTGGTCCTAGTCCTTCTGTGAGACTTGTTAACAGTTCTTAGAGGCCATGGTGAGGCATTCCTCTCCCCTGCGATGTTAATATGATAAGCAGTTTTTTAAATGGCAGCTCCTCAAGAGAGAAACACCAAGGTCAACACACGGTAGAGCAGAGCAGAGATAGTTATTTTTATAGGGTTATAACAATTTATTTTCTTTACTGATCAGAACACAAATGTTGAAATATTTTTTCATAAACATGGAAACATTTAAGTGAACTAAATATTTTAAAGTGCACTTCTGTCTTTTGTACAATAATGAAGTCATTCAGTCTAGGGTAATAGAAAGCAAATAAGACCACAGCCTTGAGGTCAAAACTTCAGAGTAGAGATACTTAAGGGCCGAAAGGCTTCCTGGCCTCTCTCTCTTGAGTAAAACCTGACTGGATGGATGAACTGCTAAAGAGAAACGTATCTGCAGGTCACTTTAGTGTGCCACAGAGGCCTCTCCCTGGTGATGACCAGAAACCCCCTGATTGTGTAGACACAGCTAGTCTGTGTGTGGAACAGATATATTTCTCATTGTCAAGTCATACTCTGGCATTCTGACTTTTTATCAATCCTGTGATACTAATCAGTTGAGACTGCACCGAGTGAGTTCTCTCTTGGAGAGTCTCTGAGCCTAGGAGACTGGTAACTAGCATGGGGTCAGCTTGCCAAGGCCTCTGGGAAAGGAGTCATTGACCATTGCCCAGGCAGTGACCACTGTACGCCAGGTGGCAGAAGTCCTTTTGCTGTTTTGGAATTCATATAAGCTTCCATAGTGCTTTTAATGTCCATGTAGTTTAACCTTGCATTTATATATATGTAAGTATGTATATGGTTTCATTGTTTCTTCTCCTCCCTTAGATGATAAGCTTTTTGAGGACAGAGACCATGCAGTGTTTTCCCTGTGGTAGACAATAATGGTGTTCAAGGGGGAAAGAGGAGGCAATGTCAGTTCCACAGTAAGGAACAATGCCACCTAACAATGATCTGAAGTAGCATATGGAGTCCAGCAATAGACTGACCTGTGTGTTCCTAGGACTTTTGAAATGTCACCTTTTAATATTCTCATCGGTGGAAGAATTTAAATAAATGGTAAAAGAACAGCTCCCTAACTATATGGGGGGGAGGGAGAAATAACAGCAGATCTCTATATCACCTTAAATAAACATGTTTCAACAAAAAGAAAAGAAGAATCCATGGAAGTATTAGAAAAAAAATAGAAGCCATAAGCAATATTTTTATATCTTGTGGTGGGAAAGAGCCTTCTAAGCATGATATGATAAGCAGATGCCTTTGATAGATTTGATCACTTTGCCGGTGACACCATTCGTAAACTTGGTACTGATTTATGCCAAACTTCAGACTACATTTGCCATACATCTTCTGATCTAATCCCCACACTCCTGTGAGGATGGTATCACCATCTCTCTTTCACAGATGAGGGAGATCAATTTAAGGCCCCAAACAAAGGTAGAACCCAGTGGTGCTCAACTGCAAAGTCTGTGCTCCTTAATCCACGGTTGTTTTTCCTCCTTGAAGCTAAAAATCCTGAGAAATATTTGAAACAGTGAAGTTCAGTGAAAGCCACTGAAAGGATTAGTATATTAATGTAAAAGTTTTCTAAATCTAGGGGAAAAAGACAAACAATCCAGGGGAGAGAAGGACAATGGCAAGAGCCAGGAGGCATGCCGGCCCCGCTGCCAGTCCCTCCGCAGGGCCCGGCGGGTGCGGGTTTCCAGGAAGGCCTCTGCCACCTGACGGTATAAAAACAGTGTCTGATATTTTTTTCTTCTGGTTTAACATGTGTTGTTGCGTTTTTCAATCCATCTAGAATTTGTCTATTTGCTGTTTAGTGAGGTTGAGGTAGAGAATCAACTTTTTCTCCCGCATGAAGATCCAATTGTTTTAAAATACTGTATTAAATGCTTTATTTCTTCTTCACTGATCAAAAATACTGTCTGTGTCTAGACTCTGTTCTGTTGATCCAGTTACCTTTTCTTCTACTAGTAACACACTATTTAATTCCAGGTGCTTAATAACTTATTTTAACATCTAATAGAGTGAGCTCCTGCTCTTTGATCTTCTTCATACATTTCATAGCTTTTCCTTCATATTTTCTAATATTTTCCAGAAAACTATGAGCTGGCTAGATTTTAATTTAAAAGTTATCATGGGATTTGAATAAGATTGCTCTATATTAGTAGGTAAATTTGAGGAGAACTTATATGTTTACAATTTAGGAATATGGTATCTTGCGTCATGTATTCATGTCTTCTTAAAGTCCTCCAGAAGAGTTTTAATGTTTTCATCACATAGGTCTTAGATGTTTTTTGTTGAGTTTACCCTGAGTTACTTTATGCATTTTTGCTGATGTAAATGGGGTTTTCTTCCATTTTAAAATTAGATATCCATGGCATATAGGAATGCTTTTGAGGTTTGTAGATTGATCTCTTGATTTTGTATCTTAGTGAATTCTCATATTATTTCCAATAAAATTTTAGTTGATCCTCTTGGGCTTTTTAGGTTATTCATCACTTCAAATGCAAATATGTTTGTCTCTTCTCTTACAATGCTTCACTTTTCTTATCACATTGATTAGGACCTCCTCAACAATAATGAATAGTCGCAGTAATAATAGGCACCCTACTCTTGTTCTTTTTTTTTTTTTTCCACTCTTGTTCTTGAATTTAAAACAGTGATGCTGTTTCGGATCCTCGCAGATAATTTCTGTTCCTAGTTCCAAGAGTTTTTATTAGGGATTATCTGTTGAATGTTATCTAAAACAATCAGTGAAATATATTGCAAGCTACCTGCACAATCTCAAGTTAGGTACTGTGGAAGAGTCTAAGAACAGTTAAATAGAATTCCTGTCCTCAAAACCATTATCATCCCACTGGTAGATGAGATTTAAAATAAAAAGATGAGTAAAGATTTGGAAATAGTGGTCGTCATGATAGATAATCATGATCATGTTTTCTTTCAAAACAGATGTGCTCCCGTAGAAGGGCAGCGCTGGATGAAGAAGGAAGCTCAGGGTAAATATTGATCTGGCCATTTCAAAGTAGAGTTTTAGAACTAGAGGAAAGGTTAGAACTCATCTGTTTCAATCACGTCATTTCACGGTGAGGAAACCATCAAAGGCAGGAAGAGTACTTACCTACTGCCTCTCAGAAGCTGCTCCCCAGCCAAAGCTGAGTTAGAATGCGCCTGGCACAGCCGCATCTGCTGTCACTAGGCCTGGAAGGAAAATGACTGGAGGGGAAAGGTTTTGGTTGTACCTCTTCCTGCTGGGGGTGGACATGAGGCCTGGCCAGAGGACTGCTCAGAGGCTCAGGGGAAAGGGCAGAGAAGGCCACATGGTCCTGGATGCGAGTCTCCTTCAAAGCTGATGGAAGGTCAAATATATGAGCCCTTCCTGTCAATCATCCCTTTGCATCCTACTGGCTTTCGGGTCCCCAGTCTCTGTTGCCTTTACCAATCCTCACAGAATTTTAACTGGGAGAAACCTCAGTCAGGAATTTATCTCTGCTTCTTACAATAAAGAAATGGAGAAGGAGAAAAGGGAAAGGGTCTTGCCCCATGGTCATACTGAGAGTGAGTAGCAGGAAGAAGGTGGTTCCTTCCCACTGGGGACTTCTCCACTGATCATTGTGCTTGGGCTGTGAGCTCCATTTTATGTCATGACCCACTACACGTACCATATAGGTATGAGTAGTTTCTAAAACAAACTTATTATGCACTCTGATTTTTTTCTATTCCATTTGTATTCAAAGAATATTTTGTGTTTCAGTGCTGGTCATGACCTTTAAGCTGATTTCACAACCCATTCACTTGTCAGTGAGAGTCTGACATGTGAAAGTGAGTTAGTTGGACTCAACAATAAGTTGGTGTGATTCAACCTGTAGGAGAAAGCAGTAGGGAAACGGAAGCACCTTCTCTCCCACCCACCAGCAAGTGACACATGTGAGACTGAGTCCAAAGGATACTGGTGTAAAATGCTTCTGGAGAGAGCGAAAAGCTTCTGCCCGGTGTGCTTGAGCAGTTCACTTACTGCACAAGGGCAGTTGGCCAGTGGCCAAGAAGGTGAGTGGGGCTGAAATCCTGCCTACACTCCATGCCAAGCCACATACAAAGGTCTCCCCAGAGACACTGTGGGGTTATAGGGGACAGATAACAGAGAAGTTCTGAAGCTCAGCATGCATGGAATTATTTTCAGGATCCCAGGTCTGTAGTGATTTTGCTTGTGATGATGGACTGAGGTACCCATTTGGTCCTAATAAGTCAGAGATACACATTGTGAGAGACATGAAAAATAGTATGAATCACTAATTATTATCTGTGTGTGTGTTTTCCTCCAAGGAGCTTCTTTCCACTTCCGGATAAACCCTCAGAAGAGCGTAAGAATCAGGTAAATTTGAGGAGGATCAAGTACTGTGCTGGGGAAAGCAGGAGATATATGGAATTAATACCTCCTTTCTATTTTTTTAGAAGGCCTTTTCCTGGAGAAGGCGGCTTTGGCTCAGGAATTTGTACAGAACCGTCAGTCCCTCACATGAGAAAAACCTGGCGCAGAATCTACTTGAGAAGGATGGAGGGTAAAAGATTAGGGACAATTTAAAATTCTTATCTAAAATGAGGTAATAACAAAAATTTTTATTAGTTCTTTTAAGAGTAAAAGATTTCGCATTATTCTTCTTGTCTCAGGGAGCTCAGTGAAGTCCTAATAGAGAAGAATGTGACTTCAGGTTCGGGTGACAAAGGGAAGGGAGCGAAGCGCAAGATACCGGCACAGAGGGAGCCCCAGCCTGCCCCGGGCCACCTACAATAAAATGTGTAATTCTCTCTCCTTGAAATGTGTAAGCTCATAACCAATCCTGGCCATCTGGTAAGGAATTAAAGTATAAATTGTTAAATACTTACATGCAAATAACAAGTGCCATAGGTATGAAAAGCAGGGCTGAGGCCAGAATCCCTCGCGGCAGCCACTCCTTCCACAGAGGTAATGCAGGCAAAGAAGGACAAATGAGGTGTCCCTCCCTCATACCTCCAATATCATCAGTCCCTGGAAACTGGGAAACATCATCCTTGAGGAGTGTAGCTTATTAATTCAAGTAAGTTTCTTCTGGGGCTCTCTCTCCCCTGGTTGTCAAGTACCAGTTCTTTACAACCTCCTGACCTCCGGCCCACAGAGGATCGCCCACTGCTGGCCCCTCTCACAGGGTCTTTTGGAGGCCAACATGCAGCCTGTACATCTGCTGCCAGAGAGGAGGAAAGAACGGCTTCCACCTCTTCTACCCTCTGGATTTCACACAGGTAAATTTTATTGGCTGAACCCTGCTGTCAAGGGCATCTGTGAAATGTTCCTGGGCTTCCAGCACCTGCAGAGAAGGCAGTAGAGATTGGTGTCCAGAGCCAACCAGTGCCACTCAGCATCCTCCATATTACAGGCATGGTGAGAGGTCCCGTCTGTACTCGGAGGGTTCATTGCATCCTCTTTTTTTTGTAGGCTTAATGAGTGTTCCAGTCTTTGTAAAAGTCAGAAACCTGAAAGGTGTCATTCTAGCTGGAAAAGAGATGAAGTGCTGGATGCTGGTGACATGCACTTATCCCTGAGGTGACTGGAGAAGCACTTGGAGTTTGTGAAAAATAAACTTTTTTCAGGAGTTATCCTGTAAGATAATAACTAAAATAAAATAAGTAAAAAGCTAATAACAGACACCTTCCCTTGTCAGAAACAAACAAATCAGAGACTATTTTATGCTGTTGGGACAAATTTCAATCAGTATTATACTATTACAATGGTATGGGAGAAAGAGTCCATCATGAATTGAACTCAAGTGGGATTTGCACAGAGGTGATATTTTAAAAGGGACTGAGAGCACAGGCCAAGGTTGAACTGAGAAGAGGGCACAGAGCAGCCAGGCTAGACTCTGTTCAAGGAGAGCATGTCACCTTCCAAACCCACAGGCCCACTACAGCCTAACACATCTTTTTCATACCTCAAAGGTTCCTACTGCCCACAGATAATTCACTTCAGAGGTATATACTTTTTGAAAAATGATTTTCTGGGTTCCTGGGAAAAGAAGAGCCCTGTGGCACGGTTTACAAGGAGTATGAGTGTGTATACAAGTATTTACAGGGTGTGTACCTCCTCACTCCTGATGGGACTGTTTCTTCTGGCCCCTCAGTGGTACCTCCTGGCCAGAGAAGGCCAGTGGTACATACACACATGGCTGAAAACATACTTCTGGCCCTTCTTGTATGTATACTGGCTAGTGGCTGCTCCTCCCTCTCCTGAGGCTTCTGAGAATCCAAGTTCTGCTTCTAAAGTGAGCCTATTTGCTCTCTCACCCCTGCTTATGAACCCTGTGAAGTACATCACAGACAAATGCAGGTTCGGGTGGCAATAAAGCTGTCTGGAGCCTGATGGCTTAGTCTTGGTCCATAAGACACATCAAACTCCTCTTAATGTGGGCCTACAGAAATGAAGATTTCAAGACTCATGTTTTTCCCTGACTGTCTTCTGGCTGAGCTCTGCTCCTACATACACCATCATAATTGGGAACAATATTTCCAGACATGCTAGTCAAGAATTAGATTACCAATCCCTACATTTATGGGCAACTGATTTTCAACATGGGCACCAAGACATTTCAATGGAGAAAAATCAGTCTTTTCAACAAATGGTGCTGGAATAAGTGAATAGTCCCATGCAAAACAATGAAGTTGAACACCTACCTCACACCATATAAAAAAAGTTAACTCAATATGTGTCAAAGACCTACAGGAAAGAGCTAAAGCTAAAACTCTTGGGAACAGATGCAAATGCTCATGTCTTTGGCTCAGACAATGGTTTTTTAGATATGACATCTAATGCCTAAGCAACCAATAAAAAATAGACAAGGTGGACTTCATTAAAATAAAAAACTTTTGTACTTCAAAGGGCTACTATCAAGAAAGTGAAAAGACAATCCATTTCCTATTCTAATAGGAAAAATATTTGCAAACCTTAGCATATACCTGATAAGGGTCTCGTATCCAGGATACATAGAGCTCTTACAACTCAGTAATTAAAAAAGACAATCTTCTCCAAAGATATACAAATGGCCAATTAGTACATGAAAAGATGCTCAACATCATTAGATAATAGTGAAATACAAAACCATAGGGAGATACTACTTTACACCGAGTAGGATGACTGTAATTTAAAAAAAAAGACTAGCAAGTGTTGACAAAGATGTGGAGAAACTGGAATGCTTATACATGGCTGGTGGAAATGTAAAATGGTGCAGCCCCTGTGGAAAACAGTTTGGTAGTTCCTCAAAAAGTTAAACACAGAGTTACCATGTGACTTGTGTATGTATGTGTGTACCCAAGAGAATTGAAAACATGTCCACACAAAAGCCTGTAGCTGAATGTTCATAGCCACATTATTCATAATAGCCAAAGAATGAGAGAAAAACAAATGCCTGTTAACAGATGAATAAATTGTGGTATTATCTATACAATGGAACATTATTGGCCATGGCATATGCCATCACATGGATGAACCTTGAAAACACACTAAATGAAAGAAGTTGGTCACAAAACGTCACATATTGCGTGATTCCATTTACACTAAATGTCCGGAATAGGAAAATCCATAGCTAATGGATAAGGTACTTCCTTACAGGGTGATGAAAGTGCTTGAATCATGTAGTAGTGATGTTGCACAAACTTGTAAATATACTAAAAACCACTGAAATGTATACTTTAAAATGGTGACTTTTGTGGGATTTGAAGTATATCTCAATAAACAATTGGAGAAAAGTGTGTGTTTGTGGAATCGCTATGGTGGTGTCAAGTGGGTGCTGGTGGTTCTTACTCTCAGGCCTCACTCCCTCCACAAAAAGGTGGATGGAAGTCCAGGAGTGCAGCGTACATGGAGTTGGCCACAGTGAGCTCTGACAACAAAGGGGGAGCTTCCTCAGGCAGAGAAGGGAGAGACGTGCCACCAATTGTATGTGTCCAAACCAGTGAGACACAATGGGGTCGCCTTGTGTAATGAACTAGGGAGGCAGGTTTTTGACAAATGTCCCCTGTGAGGTCCC